AACAACCGGGGCAAGACTCTTTTCCAACAGCCCAGAAGAAAGGAGGTCGCACCCCACAAGCTGACAAGGCAAAGAACCACTCTCCCACCCCAGCAGGTGTATGAGACCGTGCACCAACCAAGACTGAAAGCTGTACCCCAGCGGCAAGGCCAGCGAAGATCTGCAGGCTGCACATACCAGCAGCAACACCTGAGAGATGCACTGACCTGGACTCCTGGCACCTGAGCACACATGGTAGAACCACAGGTGCGTATCCAGATTCAAGGAAGGATGGACACCCTGACAAGACTTTGCCTAGCCACAACCCCTCACGAACTGCGATGTTCCACATCCCTTCTGCCGACAGTGGGGGTAGGCTGATGCTTTATCTTCAGCACCAGATGGGCTCGCAGTTCAGGACTGACACTATTGTTACCCTCTATTACTGCTAGCCTGGGACACAAGCATAACTTATATGCTCAGGGGCGGACTGAGAACCCTCAGGGCCCCCGGGCAAAATAAATCAAGGGCCCCCTTACAGGCCCCACCCATACTCTGCAGCAAGCGCCACCCTTGTCCCGCCTCCAGCCACACCCTACACAATCTTTAGACACAAGGAACAAAAGGGCAATAAGCCCTTCGAGGCCCCAGCAGAGACTACAATTGAGGGCTAATGGGCCATGGAGGGGGTCTTTCTAGCGGGGGCTATCTCAGTGTCCTTTAGAGAGTGTGTTAGAAAGAATCCCCTCCAGGCCCCATTAGAGACTACAATGGAGTCTAATGGGGCCTGGAGGGTGGTCTCTCCAACACTCTGGTTTCTATTCACAATATAGCAACACAACATAGCTCGCTGATACCTAGGCCAAGTTGGCTCTTCTTACCTTAATTACTGTTGCTGGCTGGCAGTCTGTGGGCTTGCTTGCTGCGGCTGGCAGGCTGTGGGCTTGCTGGCTACTGCCGGCAGGCTGTGGGCTTGCTGACTGCGGCTGGCAGGCTGTGGCTTGCTGGCTGCGACTGGCAGGCTGTGGGCTTGCTGGATGTAAGCCTGTGGCTTGCTGTAGGCCTGTGGGCTGGCTACTGGCCTGTGGGCTGGCTAACTTGCTGGCTACTGGCCAGCCTGTGGGTTGGCTGGCTGGCTACTGGGGCACTTGTAAATTATTTAAAGAAATAATCTATGCACAATAACCACTACTGCTCCAGAGTAAGTAGTCAAACCATTTAAGAACAGTTTGACAACTTACCTGGGATCTGCTGGGATATGGGGCTGTATTAGGGACTAGGAGCAGTGGTGCAATGTGTGTGAAAGGTTCAGTGTGTGTGTGGGGGTGTAGTGTGTGAATGTGTAGGGTGTGTGGGCTGTGTATGTGTGTGGCAATGTTAGTATGGGGGGCTGTGTATGGGGGTCTGTGTGTATATGGGTGGGCAGTGTATGTGTGTGTGTGAGGCAATGTGTGTAAATGTGTATGGTGTGTATGGGGCAGTGTGTGAATGTGTATGGTGTGTGTGTGGGGGCAGTGTGTTTATGGGGCTAGAGTTCACTCTCACCACTGCGACCACCAGGAATCCATGGGGGTTACAGTGTTGAGAGTGAACTCTAGCCCGTAGCTCCAGGGCTAGAGCTGACTCTCGCAAGAGCGGTAACGTTGCCATGGTAATCGTGGCAACGCTCTGTGCTCGTGCAAGAAGGACCCAGAGGAGCTGCAGGGTGAGCTCCCAGGTCCTCTCTTCCTCCCTCCCCTGCCCGCATGGTGCCTGCGGACAGGGGGGGGGGGGGCAATTGCCCTGTTGCCCCTCTGGATCCACCAGTGATATCTACAGCCCTTCTGTGTGCCTTTTTGTCTCCCTCCGTCCCTCTGTATGTTTCTTCCTCCCCCCCTCCTTCCCAGTCTCTCTTACCCCTCTGCCTCTTTCTCCCTCTCTTCCACTGTTTTTCTCCCCCCTTTCCCTGTCTCTCTCTTCCTCTCTGTCTCTTTCTCCCCCTCCCTATCCCCCCTCTTTCTCCCCGTGTCTCATTCTTCCCTCGTTGTCTCTTTCTCCCCCTCCCCATCTCTATATTCCCCCTCTTTCTCCCCCTGTGTCTCATTCTTCCCCCTCTGTCTCTTTCTCCCCCTCCCCATCTCTCTATTGCCCCCTCTTCCCCCCCTCCCCATCTCTCTGTTCCCCCCTCTTCCCCCCTCCCCATCTCTCTGTCCCCCCCTCTTTCTCCCCCCCTCCCCATCTCTCTAGCCTTTCCCCTCTTTCTCCCTCCTCCCCACATCTCTCTATTGCCCCCTCTTCCCCCTCTCTCCTGTGCCCCCTCTTCCCCCCCTCCCCATCTCTCTTGCCCCTCTTCCCCTCCCATCTCTCTGTTCCCCTCCTCTCCTGTGCCCCTCTTCCCCCCCTCCCCCATCTCTCTGTTCCCCTCTTCCCCATCTCTCTGGCCTTCCCCATCTCTCTCTTCTTTCTTTTGTCTCTCTATTGCCCCTCTTTTCCCCCCATCTCTCTGCCCCATATCTCTCTTCACCCCTCTTCCCCCCATATCTCTCTTGCCCTTCTTCCCCCCCCATATTTTTCTTTGCACCTCTTTCCCCCCCCATATCTCTCTTGCCCCCTCTTCCCCTCTTACTCCAAGTCAGGGCCGGCCGTTTGATGCTGAAGCCGCCGGACCGGGTAGCAGCCTCGCCGGTCCGGCGGCTTTCCTCTGACTAACGATGAAGGGGGAGGAGGAGGAGCATCTGTCTATCATGCTCCCTGCGGTTCCCACAATTCCCAGCACAGGATGTGGGAACCGCAAAGGAGCATGATGGACACATGCTCCTCCTCCACTGTTAGTCAGAGGAAAGCCGCCGGACCGGCGAGGCTGCTACCCGGTCCGGCGGCTCCAGCATCAAACGGCCGGCCCCCTCACAGTGTGCCACCGGACCGGCCACCCGGTGGCACCTTCCTCTGCCGCCCCCAATTCAGCCCTGCCGCCGGGCCCCCTGAAGGCGGCCCTGGCGGCGGGCCCCCCTCCCGGCCGGGCCCTCGGACCGTGTCCGAAGTGCCCGACCGGTCAGTCCGCCCCTGTATATGCTACTATACTATGAAAATATAAGCTTTATCGTGCCCAAGCTTACATGTGCATAACTTTAGTTCTCTTTGCCGACATTATACACACACCCAAGTACTTATACATGCCAAATCAGCTTTAAAATTACCACCCTAAACCTGAGTAGTCACACGTATAAGGTTGACTAGGGCTAGCCCATCCGGCATTATCTAACTCACCCAGAATAGTAAACAGCAATACCATGCCGAGACGCGACTATAAATAGGACTATAAGCTTGTTTATGTGCCTTACCCGCTCATTTTCATAATCTCTATGTTTGATGCCTGATGATTATTGCATTTGAGTCCACTACTATGTCCCCCAAGGTGAACATAAATGCTCTAGCCGGTTCTAACTTGAGGCAACGCACTCTCACCCGCATGCCTACTTGGCAGTACCTTACTGATTTGTTAAGCCTGTTCCCACCAACCTGTTAATAATTGAAAAATTGTGCAAACACTCGTGCCATTGTTAAACATGTCTTACTCTATGCATACGCTTTTGTGGTGCTTGAAAATCACTCTGCACTACAAAAATAATTTTTTTTAAACATTTTTAAAAAAAGAGGAAAAAGACAAGGGTTGTCACTATATTTTGGGTGTAAGAAAGAGAGTTGGTATAAAGATTACTGCAGTACATAAGTGATATACAGAGCAGTGTTTTTCAAATGACGTGCCACGGTACATTGATGAGCTACGAAGCACCTCTAACTGTGCCATAGCAAGCAGGGTTATGAGGTCGATGTTGGCTGATTCGGCAAATTACTCAAAATTCTTTGATTGACACTGTCTGTATAATATGAGGCTACATCAAACTGTCTGTACTCTCTCTGCGGCTGGAGGGAGAGGCTGAATCATGAACACACTGACCAGTTTTTGGCTCAGTACTGAGTGTTATATCTCTTGCTTTATTGCCAAGGCCTGGCAGTATCTGGAAAGGGAATCTCAGATCTAGGACAGGATTCAAGTCTTTATCATCAATCTTAAATCACCACATTTCTTCACTACCACAAACACTTTATATGTGTAATTAAAGTGACCTTTAACAAATAATGTTACTCTTTTTAGTTTTTTTTTCAATGTATACATTTTATTGAGTTTTTACTTAACTATTTGGTTGGTATTACATGACAATAGCAATCAATATTACAAACATAAAACAAAACAAAAAGTATAACATAAAAGTTTGGCAGTACGGTCAGTAAATTATACATCACATTAAACATAATATAGGTCTCACAGGTCCTTCATGTCATGTAAGCTCTGTATGTGTGATTCAGGATGACTGTGTCATGAAGAATGGAGATATGTAGGTATCAACAGGATGTAGGAAGAGAGAAGTGAAAGAGTCTAAGTAAGAAAGAGCAGAAGTTGGGGGACATGAAATGAATGGGAAGAAGAATGAGGGGTTGGTCTACTAGAGCCCTGATAAATTCTTAGGCACTTTTTTTTACATGGTGTCCAATGCCACCCAAATTGTTTTGAATTTGAATAGAGTGTTGGTGAGTTTATGGGTCATCTCTTCATATTGTCGTCTATGTTTCTGGGAAGTCACTAATGAGTGAATCGGTGGTTGCAGGTTCGTTTTCCAATGTCCAGCAATGTTGGTTCTTGTGGATGTGAGAATATGTAATTTCGTCAACTGCGGGGAGGAACATGTTGAGGAGAAAATGTTCAGGTTGTAGTGGTACATGGAACTTAGTGTTGTTGTAAATCACAGATTATATGGCTGTCCAGTATGGTTTATTAAGAGGGAAACCATGAAATATGTGAAGGAGGGTGCTGGGTTGAGGTCAGAACTTTTAGGGTAACTATGTGAGTCTCATGGGGACCATATGCCACCTCATTATCAATTTTCGGTTGGAATCCCAATGTGTTGTGCATTTTGAGGTGCTGTGCATGTTAGATGTTGATTTTATCTGTGCAGTGTGAAGGTTTTCCTAATCTATTTTACTCATTGATGGAATGACTGGATATTTGAGGTTTCTGAAGAGGTTTTTTGTTTCTTCATTCTCATTCGAGACACGCTGTTTACACATTTCCGCAGTAGACCTCCACTGCGCTCAGATGGCAGGGAGGAGTGGGTGGAAGTGGCAGCTTCACTCTCTGTGCTGCTTTCAGTGGTAGAATTGTGAAGTCCATGAACCTGATATATGACAACATCTGAGCTCTCGGGTGTGTTCACCTTCACTTTCTTTGGTTTTCTGGGGATGCAGCAGCACAGAGCTCGTAACACCCGTCTCAGGCATGATCCCCTCTTTCTCTTCTTTTTTCCCTCCTTTTCTTCTCTGTCTCCATCATCTAACTCACTCAGGATTTCAATTTCATTCTCATCAGATGTTTCTGTCTTGCTCTGAGCTGGTCTTTCCTGGGTGTTGGGTCCCACATCCTCCATAACAACTTCACAGTTCTCTTCAGCTTCGTTTGACTTTTTCTGTAAAGGTTCATCTTGAGCATGCTACCCGTGAAAAGAAAAGAAAATATCAAAAAGTATTTATTAAAGGAGCCCATTGTGCATTGCTATTCATTAACATTGATGGAAAGGGTGTGTAACCTGTATATATATATGTATAATATATGTAACGATCTCTCTATAAAGAAATTAATAAAACAGAAAGCAAACACACAGGATATATTCCCAGCATAGCATTAAATAGTATTAAGATGCTATAGTGATACTATACTGTTAAGATCTTTATTTCTGTATTGGAGAGAGTATTGTCATACTTTCCCTGGTGTTAGAAAGTTCAGGGATTTTTTTTCCCAGTAAAATCTCTACCTCTAGTCAACATCTAGTGATCGCAAACCTTAAGGACTAAGCAGCCACATTGCATACATTCTTACCTGGTCTTGGATCTCGATCTGTGCTGGTGGGGCACTCTCACACGCTCCCTGGGGCTCGGCCTCGGTTTGGCTAGAAATTTCGTTTTGTACGCCCATTTGGTTTGCAAGTGTAATAGCATTTTCATGCTTCAAATCAAAAGAAAAAACAAAATCAGAATTTATGCATTTAATGAGTCCCTTGAACATTGTAATTTATCAACTTTCATAGAAATTATATGTGAAACTACGTATTTTATATTATATACAGAGATAAAAAATAAAAATAGTACTGATAAATGGGACTGAAGAAAAAGCAACACACAAATACACACTTATATTCTACTGCAAATAAACCTTCAAACAAAAACACACCTCTGCGTTACCATAAACACATTGGCACGCTTTTCAGATATACCATACATTGACAACCATGGTCACTTCACACTGTCACACAATACATTCATAAAATGGACCTTTTCCACTCAGTTTTATAAATGGGGAACTAGTCAGGGATATCGAGTCTGAGGCCTCCTGATTGAATGCAGAATCAGTGGAAGGAGTTGGGTAGACAGGGTTAAACCAATCATAAACAGTTTAACTCTTTGAGGTAGAAAGGCACATAGGAGTACCATGCTCCATAACAACTTCAAATTCTAAAGTTGTTATGGTGCCCAAAGTATCCCTTTAAGGTTACAATAAACCAACTCCATACGCAGTCAGACTCATCCCATCACCCCACTCCGATGTATTGCTTAGGGGGGACTGAGATTCTTTAATTCTTGCACCCAGTCCCAGACGTTCCCAGTTACACCCCTGGGAGCACTCACAAGTTTCAGAAGTCTCTCAATATTTTCTTTCTTTTCTTTCCTCCCAGAATTTTCTTCTATCTGCGGTTCCTCCGTGTTCTGTGCATTCTGCGACTTTGTCTCTATTTCTGGAAGCTCAGGACACACCTCCTGCTGTTTTATAGTATATATAGAGAAAATAAATCCCGGAATTTGCTGCTCTGCGTTAACACACATTAAATTGACATTTTTCTCATCAATACTAAGAGTTTGTTCAGTAAAATAGAATATCGTACCTTCTATTACCCTGTGTTCATGTTATAATTACAGTTATGAATAGTGATCCCCATCCCAAAAGCTGGAGAAAGCATGACATCCTCAGCTGCACATTACTGTCTACTGGACGCCCCTAACAGTTCCTACTGGTTCCTAGGGGACCATAAAGAGGACTATCACTATACTCACCTGTTCTTTGTTGATCTCCATGGCCTGGAAGCAAGGATTTACACTGGGAAAAGAGAGAGAAAGACAGTGAGATAAAATTATATAAAAAGGAAGAATGTGACAAAAAAAAGGAAGTGATCAAAATTTTGAAGAAATAAAAGAGTAAACAGTTAGGGAAGAATGGGAACAAATGATAAGTAAAAGACAAAAAAAAGTAATAAAATAATTGAACAAACGTGGAATAATATGAGAATGAATACAGAAATGAAGCCTCGTTTAATAAAACTTTCTTTCCCATAACGGAAGAATACATCATTTTAGCTGCTGTCTAAAGTTACAAATACTCTCACAATATTCTTTATAGGAAAACTCCAAGCACCTTAAGAATCAATGCTCTGCAGTGGTTATTGTGCTAGGATTGCCCTGATACCCCACAATGTAAGTAATCAAACCTTTTTAGGATAGTTTGACTTCTTACCTGCGTCCCCCCTGGTGCTGCTCCCTGCCTCCACTACACCCTTTACGGAGCAGGAAGAGCTCTCTCTCTCTGAGCTAAACTGTCACTCTCATGGCTGCAGAGAAGAGGTGGGGAGCAGTTTGACTATATTGTAATGGGGGGTGCCAGTTTCTTTATATTATGTATCACTATAGGTCACGAAAAGGCAGCAAAAAGCTAGAGTACTGGAGGTTCCTCATACAATTTATATCATTCAACATATTCTGGTAGATATATTTAGCTTCCTATATTATTTATGAATATGGTTGAACCTCCTGCTCCCACATTGATACCAACTTCCTCAACATTTCCAAGCAACCTTCCCAATGCACAAGGAAAATCACGTACGATGAACTCCGTGTGAAGTGCTGGAGATGAGCCATGGTGATGAAGGGATGGCTGAGAAATTCTGTGGGAGTTATCCTTTTGCGTGGATCTATAGCAAGCATCTCTTTCATCAGATCGATAAACTGCCCTACATCTCCCATCTCCACCAGCGTATCACTGCTCTCCAGCTTTGATGGTAAAATTACCTGAAGAGAAAGAAACAGTGTATGAGAAGATTATATTTTTATATTCAATAAAAAATATGCAAAGTGACATGTTTTTCTCAGTGTCATAGGGCCAACATTAATGGTAATGGCAGTAACTACACTAAGTCATCTGACTGCTTCTCAGTACTCCCTACCAACCCCCCAACTTCTGTAGAGTTTGGTAGGCTCAGTGGTGAAAAACCACAATGTCACGCGACACTGGTAGGGGTTCTAGACAGATCATCAGGCTCTTGACAGGGGTGCAAAAATCAAGAAAAGGGTTCTTCTTGTATACCTTCATAATATATTTAAAAAAACAGCTACATTTTAAAAAATAACTATTAGAAAAGAGTAAATGTAACATCCATACATTACAGCAAAACTGTTTTCGTCTTTGCTCATATGCACTTCAGTTTTAAGATGTGTTTATCTAGAAGTGCAAAATGTTTTGGGTCTTCCCGTATGAACAATACACATACATTATTGTTGCCATGAAACTGTGCTCCTCACATCCAAAGTTAAGCACAAAGAGATTGCTCCACCACCTCCTCCGTGCTTGGCTAACCAGACATTTTAAAGTAATTTTTTTCTGCTAATCCACAGGGATGATGGGAAGATGCCATGTGATTACCTATATTTGGGTTAATGTGAGTGTCCCAGGAATACAGTACCTTCCTCATGTCATCAAGGGAACTGAAGACATATTTCCGACTTTCTATTGGTCTAATACCAGAATCGAATTCATAGCGTATTTTACTCTAGAGAAGAGGAAAAACAAGATTGTCCATTAGGTTCTGGAATGAGAACATGGTTCAGTGTAGCATTCTACAGTGTGACAGTAAGTTTCCTGCTAATGTTAGAACCAATAAACACGTCTTACCATTACCTGACCCAGCAGTTTTCCCTGAGTCTAAACAGTTTCGTTTTTTATTTACTGTATGGTTTTAAAAGTTATTTTACAAAATGGCTGCAAAGCTGACAGAGAAAAGGGGAAACAGTACCTAAAACTCTTTATGGAGGATCTGTTATTTAAATTTTATCCCATCAAAACTTCCGTATTGCTGAATGTGAGTGTGCAAAACTTCCTCTGGCTTAATAAAATAAATGAAATACACATCCCGAAATGTCTCTTTAACCAGTTCATGGCAGATCATCTGCTGGGACTGTCATTATATCATAGGATTTGCTTAACCCGATGTCCTGAAGGGGTTAAAAATCATTTTATTTTCTATAAATATGGTAATGGTTGATATAAGAGGTCGCACCTTCAAACTCCATAATACATCATCAGAATCCCAGTCGATTCTAAAGTAAAACTCGGTCTTTGTTCCCCTATCGAGCATGTTTTCAGGGGGCAAACCCTGCGTCTCGGTGATGTAGCGGATCTGCAGGGAGGAAGCAAGAGGTCACAACGTTTCATACAAGTAGCATCAACTTCTATTAAAACTGTAAACGTACCCATAATCACCCATAACCCATAATAACCAGCTTTGAATCTCTCTGGTTTACTGCATTTCCACAACTGTTCAATAACTAACATTTTCTGCAGTTATATTTGAGAAATTAAGTAAATGAATGTAAACTAGCATTGTGAAATTAATAAATAAATTACTTAACGTTACAAACAGTGATAATACGGTAACTATATAAAAACAGAGTAAACAAATCTGACTGCCTCCACATTCTAATGCTGCACATATTTTTATTAAAAAGCTTTGACTTCTTTTTGCCACAGGGATATTCTTTATTTATTCTGTTTACAAACTAGTTAAAATACAAATATCATCAAATTTAAAAGTTGGAGTACAATTACTTCTTTTAATGAAATTGTTTGGATTTAATAAATACATTATTTATACACCTAAATGCGTCTATAGAAAGTTACCTAAACTACCAAATGAAGGCTGGTTTGAGTATGCTAACATGGATGCTTTAAAAATGTTCTAACTTGTACTAGTACTCAGTACAATCAATTTACTAAACACCAGATTACGGTGAATTAATAACCGTATCCCAAATTTCAGGCTAAAAGGTGTGACAGCAGTTGGGTTGAAGAACTTTTTGAAATTTGCAATTTTGCCTAAATGTTTCAATTTTGTATCTTGATTCATTACAATTCTTTGTTTGGTGAATAGTCCTCACTAATTTTAAACAAAATTGACAGTTTTATCTTTGCACTTTGACTCTAGTCTGTATAAGCAAATATAACAGCTTCGTGATATCTTTCTACGTGAATTCATTCTGGATTCCTGACTGAGACCTTAATATATAATTAAACCCAGATGTCTATTAGATCTGAACTCACCTGATCATACTCAGATGCTCCAGGATATAATGGGTGTCCTGTGAATAGCTCGGCCATGATACACCCAAGAGACCACATGTCAATGGCCTCCCAGAATGGTAATCCTAATATAATTTCTGGGGACCTGATTTTTATAAAAAGGAGAGAAATCAGAATGTTAGCTAAATAATTTACATGTTAAAACTGTAAATTAACTGAAATATAGGATTAAACCACTTAATTTTAACTTAGTTCACTGAAATAATGACTATTTCTGTTAAGTTAATCATGACTCTGCTCCATCTGGCTGCCTGAGAGTTACCAGTGGAAGTGTTTTACCATCACTCTCAAAACACTCAGCACAAGCACATATCAGCTGACAGAGAGTGTCCAGAAAAACCCACCTCCCATTTCCCCTAGCATAATGAGATACCATGTCTGCAGCCACTTCCTAGTACGTTAATGATGATCAGTTTTTATAAAATGAGAATAATAGAGGAGAACTGCCTAAATGTTTCTTTGGAATGTAGAAAGTCCATCACATTCCACAGATCTCCACAGCTTTTTGAAGCCCGTTATATCACTTTGTGAACATATGAGAATTCCAGCAGAGATCCCATATATCCATATTTTGTAATCTTTTTCTTCAAGGCATATATAAGTGACATGTTTTCTGACAGCTTGATATGCAAAGCTTAGAAGAAGAAGAACGTAGGAATATTTCACCCACTTCCTTACTCCTTAGGAGAGCTCTGTAGCAAGCAGCCATGCCACTTGGGCAAATTCTGATCAATCCATGTTCACCTTAAGAGCCTGTGTGAATGTGTAGAGCTAACTGACTGATACACTCATCCAGAAACCATAAATATCACTAATATCTCCTAATATTTCATAAAAACCGTTGGACAAAATAACCAGACCTAGTTAACATTAGTAATTATACTCATGTCATAAATGTAAAGGATATATATGTTCTTTCTTTGAAATTGTGAATTATGAGTAATAAATGTTCCTTACCTATAGTATCTGGTTTGTATGTAACGCGAACATTGAGCCTTGGATGTATGGATTGCACAGCCAAAGTCTATGACCTTGACCTTAAATGGGTGTTTGGACGTGTCCACCAGCATGATGTTCTCTGGTTTCAAGTCTGTGTGGATTATTCCCAGACTCTTCAACTTTGCCAGTGCACTGCCCACCTGCTGCACAATAGGGCGGATGTGTTTCACTGGAAGTGGCCTGCAGTTGCATTTTTTGATAAAGTCAGAGAGACTAATGTCCAACATCTCAAACACAATGCAGATGTTGTTGTTGTGCTGGAAATGGTCATAGTGCTTGACGAGATTGAAATCGTCTGGTTGCTCCTTACTCAGCTGGCATAGGATGTCCACCTCTTCTTCAGCATGTTCAGCAACATATGGAGTGTCCTTCAGGATTTTGATAGCCACTTTTTCATTGGTTCCGTTTATAACACCCTTTACAACGTTGCCAAAGGTGCCACTGCCTAACAATTCCTGCACTATGTAAACATTGGTCTTAGACCACAGGATGTTAGGTTGCTCCAATTTACTGATAAGTAAAAAAAAAAGGAAATAGGTTCATTTTAACACAATGCTAGATTTCAGTCACAATATGAAATCATCTGAATCAGAGTTGTTTTAGAATTTAATAAGAAGGTTAATAATGTAATAACATGTACTTGGTGCATATTGTCTACATTTGTACAATATCTGGTATTTGAGCAGTTTAATTTGTTTTGTCACTTAACATCAGTAACTTCTCAGTCCCTTAAGGTTTTGTAGGCAAATTTCCTGATGGATCTTTCACCTTCTTACCTTTCAGGGTCATTGAACGCGTTTATCAAAATTGGCAATTGTTTTAGAAAAAGATTGTCGTGAAAGACAGAGACTATTTAACCTCAAAAAAAATCACCAAGAGAAACAGATAAACTTAAAGGTTTGCAGGTATAACCATTAAACCCTCAGTTTTTCTCGAGTGTAGCGCTCCGTGTTGTTTTAAAGAATAGATTAGTGAATATATATATAGTGCTTCTTATGCACTTACCCTCTATGTCACACTTGTATTACATAGAGAAAAAAAGGAAAAAAAAAAGAAAGAAATACAAATAATCGTGCAGTATATCAAAATAATTTCAGTGATTTTGTGAGTTTTTAAGTTTAAGTCCACTCACATTTTTTAGAGCCTTTTACAGTTTTAAGGCTCTAAACTTCCTGGCGTCTGTGTCTTTTCCGGGTAGAACACACGACCCTTCTCTCACGATATGCACATATATGTTTTCCTCCACATTGGACAGAGAAAAGATAGATAATCCAATCTAGGTGTAGTATTTTAAGTATTGATAAAATCAATATAAATAAAATACAATGTTGCTCACCTTATTTAGAGCCCTTGGTACCTGGCTCTAAGTGTGTAGGCCTAGTGTCAATTAGTGGGGTGACACTACCCCTTCTTGAAATCACTTGAATGGGATGCAGTGAATTATATTTAAAATAAATGGTATATTTATTGCTTAGAAAAGTTAAAATGTATACAAACTTTATATAAAATAACAAACAGATATATAAAAAGTTCCAAATGGAAAATAAATGCCAATATATAAAAAGTTCCAAATGGAAAATAAATGCCAAAACGCGTTTCACCGTCAAACGGCTTCCTCAGTCAGCTTATCATCTTCCTCTGCACCGTGTCAGTTTTTATGTAGTTTTTCTTTTTTTCCTTTTTTTCTCTATGTAATACAAGTGTGACATAGAGGGTAAGTGCATAAGAAGCACTATATATATATTCACTAATCTATTCTTTAAAACAACACGGAGCGCTACACTCGAGAAAAACTGAGGGTTTAATGGTTATACCTGCAAACCTTTAAGTTTATCTGTTTCTCTTGGTGATTTTTTTATGTGTGGTGGGTGTATAGGAGTACCCACGGAGTGTTTTTAGCAGCTGAATTTTATCTTTCCACCATATTCTAATAGCGCCACCTTTCCACACCTTGTTTGTAAATCTATACTATTTAACCTCAGCTGTGTTGAAATTAGTTGTCTTAATAATGAACTACAATCCATTTCTAACTTTACCTTATAAACCCCACCAAACTGATATAACTGATTGGAGAGGAGTTTTTCAGTTAATGTAATTAGTTTTAATATAGTAAACAAAGCTCTAATAGTCCACAAGTCCACAGTTTTTCATTGAAAATAAAATCAACCTTACACATTATCGCCCAGTTATCTATAACCTATAGAATTGGATGCATGCCTGCTCAGTCATTTAATTGTTTCTTTAAATTCATTGTGTCTAGTTAAAAGGGGATCTAAGTTCTAACAATATCTTTACATTAATAAAAAATTAAATAAAATGTTTTTATGTAAACCTACAGCAAATCATTTTATTGCTCTTCAGGTTCACATAAATCAGAGTTTTCCTTCATCTTATTTACTGCCTTTCTTTGAAATGGATCAAATCTGGTTATCAGTGGAATAATGTGTAATCACTGACTATTCAGCACTGGATATACCAGATAATGAACCCAGATACATTATATTTTGTATCATAATTACACTTTGCGTCAGTTTGTTTGGTCTGTTGCTCGGTAACACCAGCTGTAGGTAGAGTGCGATGTTTGAGCATGGTCCACTAGCTACAAGCATCTGGAGGTTCTGATGAGCCAATGATACTTCAATAATGAAACATATTTTATATAACATAGTGCATGGAGACACATTGTATATGTATTGAATCATTCCGTGCACCTGCCCTCTATTGTTGGAAGAAATCACGTATTTTGGAATAAATGGGCAATTTCTACTATAATCGATATTCCAACACTAAATTCCCTCAGCCCCCAAACCCTGTTAATACCCAGCGGGGATGGTTCCAAAAACTATTCCTGCTGAATTCTACACTTTGTAAACTATTTTAATCATTTTCCTCAAATAGGCAAACATTCTAGACTTTACAGAACAGACCTCATACACTTCTTGTTTTAAACATTGGATAATTGTTAAAGGAACACTATAGTCACCTAAATTACTTTAGCTAAATAAAGCAGCTTTAGTGTATAGATCATTCCCCTGCAATTTCAATGCTCAATTCATTGTCATTTAAGAGTTAAATCACTTTGTTTCTGTTTATGCAGCCCTAGCCACACCTCCCCTGGCTATGACTGACAGAGCCGTCATGAAAAAAAAAACTGGTTTCACTTTCAAACAGATGTAATTTACCTTAAATAATTGAATCTCAATCTCTAAATTGAACTTTAATCACATACAGAAGGCTCTTGCAGGGTCTTGCAATTATTAACATAGCAGGGGATAAGAAAATCTTAATTAAACAGAACTTGTAATAAGGAAAGCCTAAATAGGGCTCTCTTTACAGGAAGTGTTTATGGAAGGCTGTGGAAGTCACATGCAGGGAGGTGTGACTAGGGTTCATAAACAAAGGGATTTAACTCCTAAATGGCAGAGGATTGAGCAGTGAGGCTGCAGGGGCATGTTCTATACACCAAAACTGCTTCATTAAGCTAAAGTTGTTCAGGTGACTATAGTGTCCCTTTAAACTAATATTTGTTATTACTAATTGTAAAATTAATTTCAATTAGTGAGATTAGCATTAAAATAATGATTATAGCTCTGGTATTATCCAGTAAGGCTGAGGTTATAATGTCCAGGGTTACAAGGTAAATATCGGATATTGAAATGATAGACACATTTACAAAATATCACCCAGAAATCCTAACCTGTTAAATTATATAACTAAATAAACTGGACTTTTATACAAGCAGTTACCTAGTGACATATCGTCTAACTAAATTATTACATTAGTAATATATAAAACAAACTATTTTAAATAAACCTACGGCAAGTCATCCTGGTGCTCCGCAGGTTCAGATATTTTGGAGTTATTCTCCATTTTGTAAACTGGTTATCGTTTAAATTGATCCAATCTTGTTATCACTGGAATAACTGTTAATCACTGTCTACTCAGCACTGGACTAACACATAATGAACCCCAGATACATCATCATTTTACATCATTGCTCCACTTGGTCTGATTGTTACCTCTGTTGCTAGGCAACACCAGCTGTGAGACAGAGTACAACAGGGATGCCCAATAGGTAGACCCCCAGATGTTGTAAGACAACAGCTCCCATGATGCTTTGCATGCCATTAAAATACCTCTAGAATGGCAAAGCATCATGGAAGTTGTAGTTTTAAAACATGTGGAATCTGCCTGGACTGCTTCAATAACCCATTTTTTTTAATTTTATTTTTTAGTATGTAATGGCAAATATAGAGAAAAACAAGAAAAACAAAAATAACATAATGTAGCAAATAATAAATTTGAAATCAAACCTATATTCTGATTGGCTTTTAATTTGAAAGTGAAAATTACAGCAAGAAGTTAAATTGTGGCCGGGTACCAAAATATATAAAAAAAACGTACTGAACTATGGATTGTCTGTATGTATCCTGTGTCTATAAAACACACACTGCACGGAGCAATACAGTTATAAACAGACAGGCTTCTAGCTTACATACATGTATTTAACGTGTAAAATTAAAGAGTATCCTCCAAAGTGGAATGCAATAATTCCAGCTGCGTTTCGCTATGTCTCCCCCACAATGCAATGCACAGCTCCATCTATTCTATACAAATATGGTAAAAGAAGAAGGGTCATTAGTTTGCGGGTTGGCCACTAATTCATGAATCTAGGAGATAGCATGCCATTTAGTAAAAAGCCTGATACAAAGAATTCCTAAAGATTAGGATTCAGCAGGAATAATTTGAGGAACCATGCCCATTCTGGCTCCGGCACTCAGTCTCAACATCAGACAGAGCCAAATCCATTATAAATTTAAATGGCTAATGGACGGTATTTTTTTCAAACATACCTAATCATGTTTTTAAATCTAAAGAACATTTTACTGCAAAACTCCCCGAATCTGAAACTTGACACACTAGCAAATACAACATTTTCTTAACATACACCACTTTTTGTTAATTCAACCCAAACAGCTAGAGACCGTGATTCACAGCTATCCAGTCCGCTCATACCTATTTTACTCTTTCACACTCCTTCTGCCAGTTCACTATATTGAATACCTCCCAAGTGTCCCTATTTAGGAGGGGTAGTACCTATTTTAGGGCCTGAAATAATAAAATAAAATTGCAAAATGACACAAATATCAAGATATGCTGAATTGACTTAGGGTATACAGAAGCAGACTATCATCCTGCATGAATGATTTCAGTACATCTTTGAAAGAAAATGGATTACTCTAATACAATGTTTGTATTTTATTAGTTAATGATATGTAACCAGATCTTAGTATACAAATTAAAAAATATATATATTTCATTTATTTAATTTTTTATCTAGTGATATTATATGTACTCTAAATGGTTATTTTGTACGGTTTCTGATTTAGTGATATTATATGTAGAACTATAATTGTTACTGTTACTTATTATATTGTTACTATTTATTTGGAAAGTTAATTTTTGTGTTTATATGAGCTTATCTCTTGGTGGCTATCATCTAGGGTTTTTATCAATGTTTTTAGTTTTTATTTTGAATAAATGATAGATGTTAAGAGACACGGCTTACAAACCTTAAGAGTATTTTTGCTTTTGCCACCTGTTATTTTGATACAGTCTGGATTTATTTAGTCCCATAGAAAACAATTTTAGTGAGCAACAATTTTTCCCATTATACACAGAAACAGTCCATCATTGCAATTTACACACACACACACACACACACACACACACACACACACACACTTAATGCAACTTTCAAACTCACAGTCACACAATTCACTTTACTGACACAGAAACAGTCCATCATTGCAATTTACACACACACACACACACACACACACACACACACACAATGCAACTTTCAAACTCACAGTCACATAATTCACTTTACTGACAAACACACACATGGTGTAAATAGTATAATACCTCCCTTATGCCCCCACCCTTAATACTGTGGATGGGAGCGTATCTTTTAAACAGTGAGCAGCTAGTGACTGCTTACCGTTACTGCCCCAGCTGTGTTGGGGTTAAATAAATTGAGGAACTGGGCATCTATTACTTCCCATTTGCTAAAAAGGCCTGCAAATTATTGGGGGATGGATTGGGTGCTGGAGGGCAAATAGTTTGTACGTTGTCAACTATTTCAGCAATCCGGGCAAATATTTTCCAAATCCAAATCTGATTCAGGCTCATCAGTCACCTGGACATTGAGAAATCTTGAACAATCTCAATATTTTAGATTTTGCATGACCCTGTCTGTAATCAGATGGTTTTGTCCCATTCGCTATGGAAGTATTAAGAATTTAGTTGTGTTTCTATCTCCCCTACCCCCCTCTTTACATATGAGTAATGTGAGACGTATAATGTAAAGAAGAACACCAAGCATCATAACCACTACAGTCCACTATAGTGATTATGGTGTCAGAAGTTCCCCGACATCTTCCCATTGTGAGATAACAAACCAGTTTAGTAAGATTTGATAAATTATTAGGATCCCGCCAAGCATCCATGGGTTGTTCTGTAGAGTAAAGCACGACCATGCATCAGTGGGGTTCACTCTACAGAAACATCAAGCGTATCCTGCTGGAGAGGAGCCAATGCAGGGGATGTGGTCATAGCTGCCCAGGTGGACACACGTAAATTGTCAAATCTTATTAAACTAGTTTGACATCCTACCATGGGATGGTGCCAGGGTACTTTTGGCACAATAATCACAACATGAGGAAGCCTCCAGTGACCCCTCAGTAAAAAAATAAGCCAACCAATCAGAGAGCTCTGACAGGTAAATCTTGAGACTGGCAGGTAAGTCTCAAGATTTACAAATCACAGGTCACTGGGCCTGGGAGACATTTCTATTGTTGACCAATTTTGCCAAATATTAAAAAATATAATCGTCTTCTCCAGAATGACATGTGCTATAGATCTGTAACCTGTGGTAGCCTAGATTCAAAATTTGTTTAAGAGAAATCAATTGGTCACATAGTTTGGCATCCATATTAGATTAGTGCAATATTCTTCACACATTTTCATCGCTGAAACAGTTTTTCAGAACAATTAAAGATTTGGCATACATGTCCACAAATAGTGCCTTTACGATGGAAGTTCAAAGTATATGGTCAAACTAACTCCCCATATGTGTTTGTTGAGCTAAGTGGTTTTAGGTTGCCTTGTAAAATTGAAAATTTTATTTTTGTGTGCACCATTAATTACTATTTTGCATACATTTTGGTTTCTACTAAAGCACCACTGCTTGGAAATGCATGTTCCAGCGATGCCCCCAATTCTCTCTTTTGAGATTGGCATGGTATTTCTATATAAAGCCACTAGATGGCACTCCTATATTGGCAGAAATCAGTGTAGCAATAGTGGAAAAGGAATTATTTAGTATATCTGGCAAAAGGGATCGATAGGAAAATAGACCAATTGTAGCTAAAAGGTGCAGAAGCTAATTAATGAACCACTGCCCTATTGTATAATTAGACAGAAATATAAGAAGCAGGAACCTACAATATTGTATCTGCCTAACATGGGCTAGCTAAATGGTGGAACCATTGCCCTAACACGAGCTAACTAAACAGTGAAATCATAGGTCTACTGCACACTACCAGAGAAAACCTTCCTTGACTCACCAGAAATGCAAGAGTCTTCATTGATAGCTACTCGGCCACCTCCAGGTCAACACTCATCTATAACCGCAAACGGCAAAAAACTGTGATAACTGAAAGAATCTACGTCGTGATGAATGAGTATTTCAGGTATATGTGTGAGCTCTTAATGAACTTGGGAGATGTAGCAAAATACGAATCTAGGGTATTTGATGTAGCAGAACTTACAAGACCTGTAAAAAACACTATAATTTAATATGTATGTGGAATATAAATACATATAAAATACAATTTGCCACTAAGTTCAATTTATGATGATATGGGCTGGAGCAAAGACTTAATATAACCCATATTCAATATATCCAAATTGTCTTTTTTTTTTTTAAATGGCATGCCATGATGGGGATAAAGGGCAGCTTGTGATTGTTATTTTATCCTAGTAGTGGCATGGATCCAGTAAATCAATCAGTGGAAAATGGAAAATTGAAACCTAAGATTTGGGTGTCTGCAAGGTTACCCTATCACTTGTCGACAGGATGCAAAGGTTTACATGGGGTTATATCTGCACTTTGGAAAAAAGGGCAGAATACAAGTATGGGATCTTTATAATAGTATGGCTTGCAGTACCATGAAAATTAAACATGTGTGAAAAACACAAGAAAATTAAAAAGGGCTTTTCTTAATTTTGATCTTTCAGTAGTTTAGTAGACAGCTCCTTAATTTGGTATCCTTATGTGGGATTGCCATATTTATGGATGCCAAATTATGAAGTTAAAGCGTCTTGCAGCTACTTAGTAGATAACCCCCCAATTCTCTCGACATTAGGGAGCTAAAAAGGCTGAAAGAACATAATTGATCTTTTAGCCAACTTTACTAATACTAAGTAACGATTACTTAGTATAAGTAAATAAGAGAGACTGCCCCTACTCGCTATGCCCTAACTGGCAAATGGGGGGAGCTACTGCCTCCCTCTGGCCCCTACACATGAGTGATGGGTGGAGAACCCTAAGTGACAAAAAGGGGGGGGCACCTGCTGCCTATGCACCACTTGGGCCCATCCATGAGCGGCAGGTACTGCCCTCAGTGATAATAGAGGGGGCCTATTGCCCCCCAGCTCCCACCCATTGGTGATGGGTGGTGGATAAATGTACAAAATACCCCCCAAGTGACAAGGGGTCCCCAAGACCCTAGTCACCACCCAATAAAATAAAACCCTGCTTACCCCCTCACCCTAAAAATTGTTAGGGAGGGTACAATAATCTA